GGTATGGTAACAAATTGGTCAGCAAAGTATTGCTCAAGTTTAACTTTAGCATCATTCTTCTCTGAACTTTCAGCTACCACCTGTTTCTGCCTTTTCCTCATCATTAACGTTCATCTGCTAAGCAATATTTTTTCTGTTTTCTGAGATAGGCAGTTACTTTGAGAACACTGTTGTGAAAATGGATGAAACATCATACTAATTGTATGATCAAAGGTAAAACAGCATCAGAGGTAATGTTTCCTGCATGCATGCATGTGTGTTTGCAAACAAATCCCTGGCTGAATATCTGAATGCTTATTAGCAAGTGTTTTGTATTAGTGTCAAAGCCAGAATTTTAATCACATTTCTCCCTGACATTAGATACATAGTTGAAGAAACTGATGTTGTACTGCAGCTGGAAGCTACCATGAGACTGAAATGACACCTCTCTTCACTGTGGAATATTTTTCTCCAGCTGCTCATTCATGGGGAGGGTTGTGGAGGCTGCACCTGTGCATCTGGGGTAGCAGAAGTCAGGGAGGATTCTCTGCCATAACATTTGTCTGTGAAACACATACTTTCTCCCTGAGGAAATGGGCTAATGTCAACAAAAATGGAAGCTTCAAAAAAATGTATGTAGTACTGGGAAAAGCTAACTATCTTTGCACTTAAATGTGTGGGGTGATTAATTTAATGTGCCATATCTCTCACACAGACATTCTTTCTCTTTGCCAAAAGCTGAATACAGTTGGAAGTCTGTAAGTGTCCATAGTTGCCAGAGAGCTTAAAACTGAGATACTGTGAAATGCAAACAAATGGAAATGTTTATCTATCTCTTGTGTAAATATAAAAGAATTATTAAGCATTAAATACCAATTGCAAGAAGAATCGATTAAGATGGTCAGAGCTGAAACTGAAGGGGTTCTTGTGTACAAGCTTGGAGCATGACTCGAGATGGCGTGGGCTAAACGAGCAGCTTCTGCTGTACACGCAGATTTTGCAGCCACTAGGTGGGTTAGTGGTGAGGAGCTTCCTAAAGTAACTAGGGGAAGATATTATCCTTCACATAGATGCCCTCATGTACGGATAAGAGTGAGCTGTATTCATACAACTTATTTCTCTTTCCACAGGGGACCCATTTCTGTCGATACAGTTGTGTCTGCGCTAGGGAAGGTAATGGTTATAGCTAGGTGGGTGTAACTAACACAGCTTGTAGATACCAAGGAGCTCTAAGATGAGAAAGGAGATGGCAAGTCTTGCTGGTATTCTTACTGTTAAGGCTTCGGTGGCTTGCTTCAGTCAAGGAAAAATATTCCTATACACCTAGGTTGTTTTTTGACTCTCCTGCATTTTCTTTATGAGGTTCAGGGCTGATTAGCTATGATTCATCGGGGTAAACTGAAAAGATGTGCAAAGAGGCTCAGGAGATGTAGGATCTGTTGTCCTCTTTGCCTGGTAAGTCATTTTTCTTCTGTGCCTCCATTTACCATCCCTCTGTTTGTTATTCTTAGTTATTTAGTTTACAAGATCTCCAGAACATGCATAGTTCATAACTATATGTCTATAAAGTGCCAAGGACAATAAACTCTTGATTTTTGTCAAGGCAAGAGGGTAAAAACCAGCTACAGAATAAGTTATGAAAAGAGACAGTTAAACCAAATGTAGCTGTAGCCTAAAAATAAAGAGAAATATGCTTGATACATTTTACAAGGATTGTGCTTTGCAGACTAAAAAATACAAACCTCCTTTACAAAAGGGCAGTTGTACCATTAATGTTTTTGTGAATGTATCTGGACAATGTTGATGTGTAACCTTTCTTTTGTTATAGATTAACGTTTTTGAATGATCTCTTCTGACCCATCATTGCCCCTTTTTGTTTAACATTCAGTTCTGTCAACCCCTTCGAAATGTAGTATTCCCCCATACTGCCATTAAATTGAATAATACATGCATATGATTCAATCCAAGCTGTCTCCAGCAGTTAGCAGCCTTCTGGACAGTATCCAGATGTTGCTTGAAAAGAGAAGACTGGGAAAGAAATAAACAATTTCACTTGGTGGATGGGCCAGTGCAGCTTTTATCTCGGCCATCTTCCACTTAGAAAATCTTATTTAAGTAAAATAATTCTGTTTGAGACATAAGTAATTTTTTTTCATCTGCGGTTCTCAAGGCTTTGTATAAAGATGGTAAAACATAATTATTCAAGACAAGCAGAAGAGGAAACTGAGGCACAGCATTGGGTTTAACTCTGGAGAAAGACAAAGAGAGAAACATGAGTATTCTGGATTATATGGCTTCTTTAAATTATTAGCAAGATTTTTTTCTGCATTAGCCAATCTTTCTGCAAAACAGAAAATGTTCCTGTTGAAACTGCAAAGACATGGCTAAAACGCAATGCTCTTGGTATGACTCTGGCCTCTCAGGTGGACAACGATGCTGTCATAGCATAAGAGCAGCGGATGGGCTATGGAATGAAAGGCTGGTTGGCTGTTGCAAGGAAGATGCTAAAGCTTCATTGTGAGCTCCAGAAGACTGGTATTCCCGAAGTGTTTTTATGTGGTTATTTTTTAGATTCACCCTTTAGTTACATAACAACATATGAGCATATACTTTTCCTATTTACAATGCTAAAATAGACCAAGTTAAGAAAAATACTCCTACTGCAAATGATTTGGCACTGACGTATACCGCTGATACACTGATGTCTTTTTCAGCCAAAGCCAACTAGATGCTGTACTCAGTCTGCTGTGAAATGTCTGTAATCTCAAAGCCATGAAGTATAGCAATGTGGAAGAAAGCAAAGCCCAAAGAGAGAGCGTCTGCTGGGCAATCAACACTTGGAGATTAGTCCCTTCAAGGGTTGGTAGCTCTCTGGATCTTCACAGTGCTTCCAGTGGGTATTTTGGATTGAAAGAAAGAAATGCCTCAGCTGAGCTTGAAGACTTGAACAGTGTTTGTCTAGAAATAAAGCTTTCTGCAATGGCCAAAGAGAGCTTCCTTCTAAAACACATTTAAAATTTTCTTTTCAAATATCTCTCATGGTATTTGTAGAAATTTTGCCATCAACCATAACTGGATGGAAAGTTTTGCTGCCCAACTCACCTATTTCCACAATTAAGAAGATGAAGTAATCCTATAAAACACTTCAGTGGGACTAAACTGAGCAGGTCCTCTTTTGGCTGGAGGGGTGTTGTCTTGGCTGCACAATGACCCTTATTTCAGAGCCGTGCAATGCAGCACACGTTTCACTTCAAAAAATTGGTGTATAGTTGATTTCTAAGATGCTCCGTTACTGGAATGCATCCCAAAGGATGTGGATTGTCAATAGCAGGCATCAGTCTACACTTGTGGCAGATGTCTTACACTCAGTAGTTACTGGAAGGAAAACTTCCCACCCAGGAACTGTCAAATGCAAGATGTCTGCAGTGTATTAAGAGCTATAGAAATAAAATACTAGGTTTTGATAGAGGTTTGTTTTATGTGAAGTTTCTCTCATCAAAATAATTTTGAGGAAGAATTGTTTTTCTTTTTTAACACCTGTTTTTGACACTTCTGAAATGGAAAAGCTTTTTGTTGTTGTCAAAATGACTCTGTTATGAAATGTAGATGTAGCTAGGGTGAGAAAGAAGTTATAATGAATACATTTCAGGAATTTCTGCAAATAGTTCTTCCACATAAAATAAAAATGTAACTTCTAGCACCTCTCAACCTAGCCGAGCCATAAACAAATGTAGAAATGGAAAGGGCAAATTCCCAGCTGTGCGCTGAGATTAAAACAGAAAGCAAAACCCATCTCCTCTCACCCCATCCCCTACCCTTCCCTTTCCCAGTATGTCTATTAACTGTGAAGATTTTAAACTTCGACCAGTCACTGGTACTGAATCCTGGACCTGAAACCACTATGGTATTGAGAACAAAAGCAATCATTTTTTTGGTGGATGATGCTTTTGAGAAAGAACTATGCCTGTTTGCCTATGTTCAGAGGTTTGGAGTGCTGCTTCAGAGCCTTGGTAGAGATGGATTTGGGGGCAGAGAGCAAGTGATAAGGTCAAAAGTGCAAAATGGCTGCAGTTTGTCACTTGGATATCAGGAACGTAGCTATGCTTATGTATGTTTAGATTCCAGGCGCACATATCTGAATATGCATATGTAAAATCAAGTGGCTGTTCAAAACATTTAACAAATGTTTTGAGTTCGAAATCCTGAAGCCTCTTGCATTTATCTCCAAAATGCAACACCACTGTTGCAGTGGGTTGCAACATGTTGTGCTTAAGAAACTGAAGTCTGGAGAGAAATGAGGTTGAGACTTCTGTGTGATTATTTCATACTTGTTGGCTCCTCTGATTAAGTCTAGCACTGAACCTCTCCCTTCTCTCCCCCTGCTCATTAGCCGCATGAGGCCACCATGACCTTACAATCCACCCACGGTTTCCATGTTACTGTCAGTCTCCTTACATTTGACTGATGAGAAGTATGTGATTATTCGACACATCATAAAAACAGCCAGAGCAAATGAAGGAGAAATCTGGAAAGTATTTATAGAAATCTGTAAACAATCATTTCAATTCAGCTATTCAAAGCTATGCTCACATTAGCGTATTAGCTGTTGAGCTGTCACATGTTCTTTGGTTCTTTTACCTTTTTTAAAAATTAAGGAATGCTTTGCTGTACTCCTAGCCATTTTGTCTTTCATAGACTGATGTTTGCAGAAACAATTTATTTTTTGAGCTACAATAACTGACTAGGATTTTTTTTTATCTATGACTTCACATCATTTCGTTGACTTAAGAGGTTTGACAAGCAATGACTCACTGACATGCCTTGTGTGCTGAAAGGCTTTAGGCAACTTCAACCACTTGCCTCTGTTGTATACAGCTCAACATCAACTTCAGAGAAGTAGGAAGAAGGAGGTGAGAAAGAAGCAGCTGTGAAACTCTTTCAGAAAGCTACATAATGCAATGATGGGATGTGCATTGCAAAGCCGCTACTCTATGCAAGAGTCGGTGATGTTTCTTACTCACCATAGCATGATTTAACCACAGGGGGATGATTCCATCAAGGCTTCTGGGATAAACGAGCTCTCGATTGTAGCTATACAGTGCCCAAAAGGATACAGACACAAACTGGAAACAAAATAAATGAAAGAAAAACATAGTTGGTGGGATTTGGATAGTGCTTTCATTTCTGAGAAGGCAAAATTTCTCCTTCATGAAAAATGGTGAGATTGCCAGATAATTTCATATATTACATATGTTGCAACATCAAGAAAGGAATTTACAGTGAGATGCAGTGTTCTGTGCTGATACTGTGAGAAACCTTTCCTTTATAAACTGCTAACCGTGACGTTTTCTGTAGAATACTTGATTAACTCTAAACTTCACTTTTTTTACAGTTAGGATGTTTCGATGGTCCAGAACTTCTCATCCAGAGATCGGTTGTCAAGCCACAGCTCAATAACAACATAAAAACAGATCTTGGTAAGACAGTTCTTCTAAAACTTACCCTATCTTTAAAATTCATGAGCACAATTCCTCAACTGCAGGCACAGAAGCAAGCTGCGTTGTGGGCACCCATCGCTTCTGACAGAGGAGGATTTACAGTGGAAAAATTTAACTGGAGAAAATGAACCCTGGTGTCAGCTACTGGTATCTGGGAGCTTATTTGTACTTTCTTGGCCTCACTTTCTAGTTGAGTACATCTTGTGTCCGGGGTTAAAAATCAGGGGTTTGAGTTACTGGAAGCCTGTGCTTCTGTATTGTGTGCACTGTGAGTATGCCTGGGGGATATGACAACAGCCTTGTGAATACGCCTGTGCAGGGAAGATAAATAAGCCAATCCCACTGTCTCCATCACTGGCAGGACTTTTTTAATGAGCCAGCAGACTGAGCTGCTTGTGGACCAGATTTAAGCAGCGCTTCTCAGCCCTTTGAGACTGCAAGTTTCACTCACCACAGCAGTACCTATACATCTAAGTAACCCTCTGGTTCCCATTCAACTTGTAACATTGGAATAGTTCGATAAAAAGCGTTGTCTGTGTTGGAGTAGATGATCCGCAGCGAATCGGCTATGTCGGCTATGGCTATAACTAATGTGAATCTGTTTTTCTCCTATGCTTATTTAAAGCCATACTGGACTTGGAGAAGGGAATGTAAGATTTTGCTGCTCCTTAGGTACTGTCTCATATCCTGCTGGCCTGTGCTGCCCTTCAGAGAAATGCCATAAGTAGATAATGCCAAAGCTGTTTGGAACATAAGATTAACAGGGAGGTTACCCTTCACCCCTTGGGGTCAATCTGTGTGTATTCAGGGACAGCAACCCCAAAGTTTGTACGATAGGCTTTGCATTCAACTGTGAATGAGATTTGTATGTGGATCTGAGCACCATTTCTTCTTTTAAGTGGTCCAAATCCATTGTCAAATGGTAATAGAAAGCCTACTTGTTAGGTCTTACCTGTTTCATACATGTGCATGCTATGCTACATACACCTATGCATATATGTAAACTGATTATTTTTATGTACAGAGGTTACTTACTGTGGACACTGGGAAAGCCAGGACACTGAAAAGAAGGTCTCTGCTGGAAATTACGCACTTAACACATCGCAGTTTCTTAATTAGTCTCAACACATCAGCCAGGAAGGACACCCCATAGAAGACAGCCTGCAAAACCTAAAGTAATTACACCTAATGAGGGAAACTTATCCAGCTTTAATTAGCACATTGCTCAATGAACTCAGTTCTTGCTCCTCAGGGAGCTGTTTTGTTCATGAGCTGCAAGCCCACATGAGGGAAATAGCTTTGGGCTAAATCTTTTTTACTAACCAAAACTGATTAAATAAAGTAGTTTGGGAGATAACTTCAACAGGATCTCGTTTAATAGACTAAACAGAGATGTGTGGTGTGTTTCAGATGGGAGGGGTGGAAGGACATGTTGAAAGTTGGCTCCTTCACACTTTATATGTTAATTGTTATGTTCAATGTATCTGAGTAGAAACAGGAGAGAATAAAACTCAGAATATGCTAAGAAAGGTTTTCTGTAAAGCAATTGGTAGATAGCTTCTCCCATGGTTTAGCCAACATAGGGCTTTCTTTCTGGGGACTTGTGGTGCAATTGTTCTCAGTGTGGTACCGGCCAAGTAACCCAAAATGCTCCAACATGTTAATTAGGTGCAGAAGTTACCAAAACCAGAACCTGTTTTACAGAATTCAGAGAAATTTAGGAAATTATTTATTTTAAGTGCTTAGAAACAGAAATCCAGACCTTAGTAACTAGAACTGAGTAAGTTTAACTCTTTGATACTAATGAATTCTAGAGTGTTTTTTTTAATTTTAAATGTCATTCGCAAGTAATGAGGGTAGGGTTGTCTGGGGAGGGTGCTGGGAGGATTTGGTAAAGAATTAGGTAAGTGCACTGTGATACAAAACAATTCTGCAAATGGGGTATGCGTCTGTCAGAAAATTGTCATTTAAATCAGTATTGCCTTTCTGATAACTTCACTGTCTCTCCTAATGCTACACAACAAACCATGCTGAACCAAACGTGTCAGAAAGCAAGACAAAGAATATCAGAAAAGTACTTATCTTTCCCTGCTGCCTTGCATTCAGCACTGAGTCTAATTCAACTGTTAAATTATGGGATGTCCTCTTCTTTTTAAGACTAGGTTGTCCCAAAGAGATGCGATACGGGAAATTCAGCCTATTGCAAATACTCGACCAGCTAGCTCTGCTTAAATGGAAAGAGGCTGTGTTACAGCTTTCAGGATGAGATCTCTTTTGCCATGATCTTACTCTGAATCAGATATTTATTTAGAGCAAAGTGTGTGATGTCTGAAGTTGGGGCTGATTACTTCATCAGTTTCTGAAGGAGCCGAGAAGGGTGGTGCTGGGGAGGGAACAGAATTAGAGCAATACTTTTCCATCAGAAATTCCTCTATTATCAAAACATCTGAGGCAAGGAAAGGATTATAATTTCATTGTGCCCATCTTCAAACAAGGGCTTCCACAAGCTTTTTCAGAAAGGTTTAGGGACCAAGTCCTCTTGGGGAGCAAAATGGCTATAGATTGCCCGACTGAAGTATCCTTGCAGCTACTACAACTATCTGCATCCCTATCCTGGCTTCCAGACAAAAAAAAAGGACACACACAGTCCAGACGGTGGCCATAGTAGACTCCAGTCCAGTGCCCATCTGAATGACGGGTGGTGTGGCTCCCTCCCCACGCACGCCCATGAGGGTGCAGGTAAGGACGTGCTAACGCAGGCTAGGTGAAGCGCCCACGGTCACTCAGGCAGTATGTATCAGAGGTCACGCATCACCCAGTTCAGCTGCAAGGTCCATGTTTCCTCTGAAGAATATGAGGTGAGCTGAACAGCCACACTTTTACATAAAAATTAAGAAGTTTCATCAGAACTGACTTATGGTTTTTTTCGGTTTCAAGATACCCAAACCAGCTCTTTTAAAAGTGTTTTTCTTTCTCCACTATCACAATTGGTTTCTGTAATTCCAGGCATAATTTCAGTCACTGGGGGATTCAACCCTGCGAAGCAGGGGCCCAGTCGAGAAAAGTGCTTACTAGAGAACAGGGTGCTTGGAGCTGGGGATATGTTCAACCCAAGTATGTGTCCGAGTGCTTGACCTCACCAAACACCAAAACCTAGTCCTTGAAGGGCTAAGAAAAGCCTCGTAACAAACAGAAGCTGTTGTTACACCCTGAATAGCCAGCAGTAACTTTCTGTAAAAAGCATGAAAAACGGCTACATGAGGGTGGTGACAGTCAGTGACACATGGTGACTAATTGCCAATAAAGCAATTAGGGGAAGGCATGGTTCCCAGAGGATGGGGCTATTATTATCTTGTTCATGGTTGGACTTAAATTAATCATAGGGCAGGGATGGGCTTCTCCCTCCCCCCCCCTTTCAAAATTAACTAAAATAAACATTTCTGAAAAGAAACAGATAGTCCCAAAACAGCCACATTCCCAGTCTAGTAAATATTCTGTCATATGAAGGAAAGGACAATGTTATCTTCCATATGGAAAATACTTATCTGTATATGTAACCTGATCCATTCCTCTGATTGAGCGTTAAAAAAAGAACAGTTCCTGAAGGAGTTCAAACTCAGTCTCACGTGTTTATTTTTGTGATGCTCATAGCTCTACCCTTGTCCCTTAGCGGGGACTCAAAGGGGTTTTCATTAGTTTGTAATCAGCCTGCATTTTCAGGAGCAACGGGAGAATATAAAAATACTTTTCAAACAAGAAAACTGAACGTAGCTAGAATCATTCCTAGTATTTCAGTAATAGACTGTCTGGCAGGATGAACCACTGATAGACTTGAATCAGAGCTCCAGATCTGCTTTCTTCCAGATTCGAGTTTATTCCTACAAGAAAGGTGAATCCAATTCTCACAGCCCTTCTCTAATGGGAAAATGTTGACATAAAAAAAAAAAAAAGATATGAAAACATCAAATTATTCCAGATGTCCTGTGAATTTCTCAACCAGCAGTGCTGGTGCTCTCAAATATATCACAACAGCTCATAGAATATAAATCCACTGACTGTAAATAAAGAGGATCCCCTAAAGTATTCCCACAAGAATAGAAAGAGGACTGGAAGCATTCAGAAAAGTAATGATTAACCTAAAGAGGAGAATGTGGATTTGATTATCCTTTTTGGAGAGACTTTGCTTTTCTCTATAAACCCTGCAGAGTTACATGGTACTAGGTGCTTTAGAACTGCTTAATTTGGCCAGATAGATTTTCCAAACTAGGAATAACAGTGAAAAAGACAAACCTTCATTTTCATCTGCTGCTATGATCAAAGGGATATTTCTATTTAACTAATCTGACATAATTTATTTTCACATATAAGATCTAGTCATATGAGTATATCGAATTCTCAAACTCGTGTAAATAACTTAGGCTCCAAGCTTTGTCCTTAAGGGGGTATAAATCTAATATTCCAAGTAGGCTGTTAGACATAACAGTGAACATTTAGTATAGATACATATATATTCACACAACAACAGGCTGGAAAATATGTATAATACATACTGGGTCTATTTTGGAATAAATAAAAAACAGCTTTCAGGAGAACTGAAAACATTTCAATTATATGAGACAAAAGTGTAAGGAATAAAATGGGAGAGGAATGCAATTAATAGTTTTTAAATGTGCCATGTCTCATAATGCGATGATTTACCATGATTTATGGCAATGAGCAGATTTTTATGAGCTCAGATATTAGAGTCAATGAGTGATTCAGCTTGAACTGTTTTGTATAACAGACAAATGGATTCAAAACTGTTTTTATCTATAATTTCTACCTGTTCAATAATTGATGGGTGAACATCTCCCGAAACTAAATCTACTTTTTTTTTTTTTTTACAAAAGTAGTTCCTTTTTGAGTCTTGATTGCTATAATCATCAACTAGATAGCTGAATCTGAAGTAATATCAGAGCTGTAGTTCTCTTGGGAGAATCATGTGGTTAGCGAGGAACTGAAAGAGTTGCTAAAAGAGGATCATAGCTAGAAGAAATTCTTTCAGCAGAGCTAGGAGTCCAGCTGCATTTCCATCCCTGGAAAAATTTCACATTTCCCACTATTTTTCATTTCAAATCAGAGCAAGTGAGACACAGCAGTTTTCTGTAGAACGGAATTTCTTGCCTTTTCTAAAAAGCAATCAATTCCAAAGAGCTAAGAGGAGTTGGGGGGGGACAGGGGGGAATTTCCAAGCGATTGAGCTGGCAAGTGCCAGAAGCCAGGCAATTGCAGTCTGGCAGGACGTGGAGGAGCTGGACAAGCAGTCTCTCTGCCTGGCTCCGGGCAGTTTCGGAGGCGCAGGCCCAGCCCAGCGCAGTGCAGGAGTTCCTCCAAATCAGCATCTTCCAGCA